CCCCAAAACCCCAAAACCCCAAAACCCCATTGGCTAAAATAACAAAAATATAGGAAAATAATAAAATAAATTATTGCGCAAAATTTACAAAATGGACGATTAATTTGAGAGACCATACGTTGAAAAATATAGACCAGAGACTCTGGAAGATGTAGTTGGTAATTTTATTATATTAAAATCATTCTTTAGGCAACAAGTTTGCAATAGACTAACTTAAAGCAATTGTGAAGTTTGGAAATATGCCGAATCTCATTTTAGTTGTAAATTTTAAGTAAGATTGACAATAATTTAGGGTCCTCCAGGTACTGGTAAGACTTCATCTGTGATGTGTATGGCTAGATAAATGCTTAAAGATTGTGTTAAAACTGCAGTATTGGAGTTAAATGCTTCTGATGATAGAGGAATCGATGTTGTGAGAGATAAGATTAAGGGGTTTGCACATCAAAAAGTTACAGTACCAACAGGAATGCACAAACTTATCATCCTAGATGAGGGAGATGCCATGACTGAAAGCGCACAGCAAGCCTTGAGAATGATTATGACCGAATATTCCAGCACAACCAGATTCGCTATAGCTTGTAATGATAGCGCTAAGATTATAGAGCCAATTCAGTCAAGATGTGCTATTGTTAGATTTACAAAGCTGAGTGATGAAGAAGTAGTAGAGAGATTGTAAGTAGTAATGGAAAGAGAGAATATTGAGCACACTAATGATGGAATTGAGGCTTTGGTTTTCACTGCAGATGGAGATATGAGATATGCATTGAATAACTTACAAGCCACCTTTGCAGGTTTCAGCATGGTTAATAAAGAAAATGTATTTAAAGTTTGTGATCAACCTCATCCTGAATTAATGGGGAATGTTCTAAAGGCATGTCTCACAGCTAAATTCTCAGAAGCTTGTGCATTGATAGACACAGTATTCACCCAGGGGTACAACTTGATTGATATAATAAACACTCTAACCAAGATCATGCAGACAATGTCAGAGATTAAATCAGAAGAGATGAGACTGAATTACCTCAGAGAGGCCTCTATTATCAAAATGAAAACCCTTGAAGGAAACAATTCTCAGCTTTAACTCCACGGATTCCTAGCTAATTTATGTTAACTATCAGTGCAACCTAATAAAGTTAAGTGATTAAATTATGTTGTTAATTACCTTTAAGTAATTGATTTGCTTTCCTGTTTTTGCAATATATGGAATTGAGGGGTTTTGGGGTTTTGGGGTTTTGGGGTAATGACCC